ATCGTTTTTCCCAAATTTTAGCCAAATTAATTAATGAATCTCATTAAACTTATGCTCGTTTTAATCAGTAAGATCAGCCGCAACCCGCTACAGAACCGGATTTTGGAAAAAGGATCAAAATAAATTTTCCGAAAACAAATATTACGAATATTGCAGTTAAAGTGCAGTTTAAAGTGCACTTAGTGCATAAAGTGCACCCGTACTCCTGTCGACCTTTAACCTTCGGAAACCCATCTGTATGAAATAATGTAAGGGCTCAGTCACAATGAGAAAAATAAGGAATAAGATAAAGGAATAAGGAATAAGGGAATGTCGCATCTCACTTCAGTACATGTACATTAAAGTGAGATGCAACATGCCTTATTCCTTATTCCTTTATCTTATTCTTAATTTTTCTCATTGTGACTGAGCCTTAAGAATACCCAATTCCTATATGTATTTTGTCCTCTGAACATGAATATGAAACTTAAAAATGGCGATCGCAAGTTGAAGAGAAATAAGGTAATTATTCGGAATAGGGCATTTTCCAAATTTTGATATTTTTTTGTGGTTTTCTTGATAAACATTTTTGTTGTGACTCCGACAGTGATAAATAATCAATTAGGGGAGCCCGAAGAATATGTACCCTACCTATTTTTTATGGGAACGGAAGCAACTGTCTCCACGCATACATATTTTCCACGCGAAACGAGGTGCCACATGAGTTTACAACTTCCCACGCGTGGAAAGTCCATGTACTTTGCAAGGCAACATATGTCAAAGTCAAGGTCATTAGAGAGTGGAATGTTTTTATGCATAATTACAAATATTGATTTAGCATCAATATTCAGCTAACGCTGATTTTCATTGACTTTTTTTGCGTTTTTCTGGTTTTTTTTTTTTTGCAAATTTCGATGTTTCTTGTCTCGAACGCCATTTTTAAGTTTCATATTAATGTTCAGACAAAAATACATAAGAATTGGGTATTTTTGATTCATTATTTTATATAGATGGGTTTTCCAAAGATTTACTATATTTTTATATGCACAATATTACGTGATGAAGAAAAACAAATTATATAAAAAAAATCATGAATTTTTTCTATTGAAGAAAATATATCAATGATATTGTCATAGAAAAACATGTATTATAAAAAATTGATTGAAAGACTCATAATTCTCCTTTAAAATTATACACACATGCATGCATGCATGCACACATGTGTACTTGTTTGTATGTACATTATCTTATTCTTGTCTTATCATTTATAGGAAAAAAAGATGACATATTATCACCTTCAAGTAGATTGATGTTAGGACAACCGTGCAGATCTGGAACTGGGGCATTTTCTATTTTACCATCGTTGTACAATATGTAAAAATAATAAAATTTCTTAATATCAATATCCACATTTTAATTCATAATTATATTTTATATATTTGTGAGTTCATTATACATTTTTGCAACAAAATCCATGGAAATCATTTTTTCATTATTAAAAAATAATTTCTTCTATTTTTTTCAATGTGCACAATGTAAATAACGCAAATTATCCTTTCTATTTAAAAAGCCGTTCTATAACATTTATGTAAAATAGTAATTATAGCTAATATGTGTCATTTTACAGTTTTTAAGAATACAATATATTTAAACACTCGTGACAATTTATTTATTTATTTGTGCTTTTGAATCGTATTTTTAAGTTTATCGAAATTCGCACCGGAAAAGGTCTCCAACTGAAAGCATCAAAAATTTTATTTGATTATTGACTATTTATTTGACAATTTTCTGCAATATTTAGATAAATAGTTTATTCAATACGTACCACTTTACCTTCCTTTATAAAAACGAATGTAGGCATACTGGATATCTCGTATTCAGCAGCGATATCTTCACATTCGTCCACATCAACTTTAAGAAAAACAACATCCTGCATTTCCTACATAAACAAAAATATTCGTTCTTCAATTTCAACTTCAAATCCATCATGAAACTTGATTTAATAACAAATTAATGTAATATAATACCTTTGACAATTCCTCAATCAATGGGCCAATCATCTTGCATGGCCCGCACCATACGGCAAAGAAGTCGATAATTACCAAATTATTGCCTGCATCTTTAAGCTTATTTTTCAGGTCATCCTATAAAAAAGTGAATAATGATTATATCGGTTCTTTTTTATTAAATAAATATTTGTTAATTGATGGATAGAAAATATATAAATTATTGAAAGAATATGCGTCGTTTAATGCAAAGTACTGTACGATAAAGTTAAATGAGATAGAAAAAAAAGATAGTTATCAAAAATAGATAAGATATCAGGTACTTAAAAGTGCCACTAAATAATAATACAAATAAAGTTACTAATTTTATAAGTGATAAGAAATAATGCGCTTAAATAAACACTAATAATATAAGTAAAAGAAATACAATATAAATATTTATTGTATAATAACTCTAATTGGAGGACATGGTTCTCTGACTATCCGATTTTAACGAGCTTTCGCTGGTAATAATAAAAAATAAATCTTTGCACTGTTTTAATATTTTCATTGTTATTTATGACAAATTGATATTATAGATAATATTACATTTATATTATTTTAAATTGCGCACGCAAATACTCGAATAACAGTAAGAATAAAAGTAACAGTACTCTACATGTGCTTATAATAGCATTAATAGATAAACTTTTTTAAAAATCTAAAGTCCAAAAGCAACCCTGAACGTAAAAAATATATAGAAAAAATAATATATTAACAGCATTAATTTAATTGAAAATAATCTCATTAATTAATCTCATTCAATAATCAGTTCAATTCAATAACAGTATTAATGAAACATTTCATTAAAACAAGAGCACGTATTTGTATCATTAATATTGTTAATGAATTTACAAGATTATTTTCAATTCAACTTCTATCAGCTAATATAATTTTTTAAAATTATTTTTTCGCCGCACAAACACAGCTGAAGTCGAGATTATCGTTAGAATTTAGCAAAAATGTGGGGAAAATAAAAATTTCTTCAGCATTAAAATATATCGGAAGCAAGAAATGTTAGAAAGATATTTTAAAAATTGAGAGTAACCTAACCTACATAGCAATCTCGAGAGATTTTCGAATATCCACAGGGTTTATCCGCATAAAATCTGAGGATCATACTTTGGATGTTCGGATGCCTATATGTTTGCTTATAAAGGATATTCAACAATGGATTAATGGATATCCCTAGGATATAATTACATAACGAAATTCGATCCCAACAATATCGACTGGATATTTCTAAATATCTAATGTTGTATAAGATATTCTTAAGTAATCCTATGGATGATTTTTTAGTTTGGATCAAAATGGGATCAAATCAGATAATCCTATAGAGATTTTTTTGCTACGTGAGAAATTCTTTATCTAAAGGCGTAATATAAGAGGAGGTGTAGTTTATGTATAAGGTTCAACAAATTCCAAAATTAGTTATTTTATATAGTTATTTTTCATGAAAATTTATGAAAAAGGAAGTTGAACCTTTAATTATGTAATTTTGGACTAGGGGTAAACAGTACAGTTGTTGGCCATTCTACAATAATTGGCCACATCTTAAAGAAAATTAAAGATTATAAAGAAATACTATTAAAATGTTTAAAAATATTTCTTTTAAAAGTGTATTAAATATGTTTGTATTTATAATTAAAAACATTTTGGTAAAACTTCGGATTAAGGGCGACCTCACCGATTTCAATGACCTTGATATATGTTGTCAAGGTCATGACCCCGAGTGACTTTTAGAAGGTTTTAGCCGTCGCTCGTTATTCATTAAAAAGTTATTAACAAAAAAAGGTTTGAAAAATATAGCAGCTATATTTTGAGTATTGGAAGGCATAAATGACTAATCTAATATATATGTCGAAATAGTTCACGCATATACACTTTCCACGCAAAACGAGGTGCCACATGGGTTTGTGACGTGCTTTACAAGCTCGTTTATATATATACATAATGATACCCTTATTTTTATCATCACATATTCCCAAAAACTCGTAAAGCTTCATTTTAAGTCGTATCAGTCTTGCAACAACGATTGACAAAAGATGACTGATAGAATATGAGCACAAACACGCCAAATAGACCGAATACCACAGAATGTAAATAATCAAAGTCAGATAGTATGTATATATATAAACGAGCTTGTAAAGCACGTCACGAACCCATGTGACAACTCGTCTCGCGTGGAAAGTGTATATGCGTGAACTATTTCAACATATATATTAGTCATTTATGCATTCCAATACTCAAAATAGCTACTATATTTTCCAAACTTTTTTTGTTAATAACTTTTTAACGAATAACGAGTGACGGCTAAAACCTTCTGAAGGTCAGTCACTCGGGGTCATGACCTTGCCAACATATATCAAGATCATTTTGAAATCGGTGAGGTCGCCGTTAATCCGAAGTTTTACTCCCAACAACTGTACTGTTTACCTATAAATGTCTTATAATCTGCGATACTTTGTTTCTTTCAAGATTTAGGAAATATACGTTTCAGATCAAAATTTTGAAAGTCCATTTTTAGATTAAATATCAAATCAAAATTTTAAGAATAAAATGATCAGATACATATTGATTTGTTTTCAATTTATTAAAGCGTATGAAAATCGATAGGTAATCAATCAAGTACATTTCTTAAACATAAAATGTAACTTTGCTCCAAATGTAAACTGTTTTTATTTTCTATAGTTATGGCCTTATGGCAGTTCTTTTTCAAACATTCCATCGAGATTTAAACGTAAAATAAAATTTAAATTAATTTTATCCAAATGTCAAGAGAATATTTAACTTATAGAATCGAATGTTTTCGAATCGATGTCATTGCATTTTTTGTTTTTTATTAATGGGTTATACTTTCTGATAACAAAATACACACTGGTAAACATCGTGCAAATAGTTATCAAATAAAAATGCTAATACTGTATTCGTATATACAGACACGTGTTTAAAATAAGATTTTATTCTAAGTTATAGATAAAAGTTCACGGTCAAGATAATGGAGAACACTATAAACTAGAAACAAATTGTGAAAGGCAATAAAATACTTATTGTTAATGATATCTTTTACTGTTTATAAACATTTGCAACCATTCAACATTCTACAGCCTATCTATCTAAAAAAATATAATTATAATTATTTACATAATTACTTCTTATTTATACTACCCTAATATCTAATACCAGTGAGAGTGTATTAGATATTAAAAAGTGTATTAAATATTAAAGTGTATTAGAATATTACGCGCGTGATTTTCAAACAAAACGTTCGTTTTTGTCGAAAAAGAGCTGTTTGATTTTTTTCTCAAAAACTGAAGTTTGTACAGACTTTTTACAGGTTTAGTCCCAAATTAAACGTATTGTGAACATGCTCAATTTTTTTCAAGTCGATTTGAGCCTGCATATTTTCAACTAAAAAAATTTTTTTTATAGTTTATAATCATAATAAACATTGTTAAAAGATAAGTCTCGGTTTTAATTAATTCTTTGTAATAAATTTAAAAAAAGCTTTATTTTCGACAAATCTGACTGCCTCCTTAAAGTATAAAATGTCGCCTTAAAATATAAAACGATTATTTTAATAAAAAATAAATTTATTAAGATTTATTAACACTATCTTAACATTTTCGTGGCGGTATTGCACACCGCATGCCGTTTCTTTATATGACTGATAGATTAATATTTAAGTTTACATAATTATAAACAAAAAGACAGTATTGCGTCATCTAACAGATTTAAGAAAATGCTCCAGTGCATTTCGATACTTATTCTGGGTCTACAATGCGAGTCGTAAGAAATTGACCAATCACAGTCGATTATTATCAAATTCGATTGTGATTGGTCAATTTACGACTCGCATTACTGTTAGGCTGGGTCTACAATGCGAGTCCTAAAGTCGTGAGTCGCAAGAATTGACCAATCACAGTCGATTATTTTCCTCAAATTCGACTGTGATTGGTCAATTCTTGCGACTCACGACTTTGCGACTCCCACTGTAGACCTAGCATTAGCAACTGTCAGTACTGAAAATCTAAAAAGTATAATACGTGACGTAAAATATAGAAAAATATAGATTTTTAGTACTGACAGTGAATAATCGGAATGTAGCCTGGGCCAACTTCGATTGATAATCAGAAGCGAAAAAAACGTCATAAAACTTCTTGTATCATATATTAAAATAAAAATGTTTTTAATGAAATAGCATGTATAATCGACAGAACAAACTTATATATTGAAAACTCTATCAATAAATCAATCAATAAATAACTCATATACATATGTCGAATCATGATCAAGGACAAAAAAAAGTTGTCGAATTAAAATAAATATTTACTTTCACATAAATTCTAACAAAATGGAAAGCTTCAGTATATTTTAACACTACAATTATTTTAAATATAAAAATACTATGTATATAAAAACGAAAAATGATGCTCTACGATGCAAGAATATAACTTTTTTTTTGTCATTTTTCACGCCCGGGCACATATACAGAAAAACTTAAGCAGTAAGACATAAGCAGTATAAGGAAATCAACAGTTTGGATTCGCTATCGCTTACGTTAATATGTCTTACTGATTTGCTTACTGCTAACGTTTTACTGCTTAACTTTTTTTGGATGCCACGGCCTTTATATAATACTGCCTTTGACTAAAC